CTCTCTCTCTCTCTCTCTCTCTGATTAATTTCTTTGGATTTTTATGAGAGAGAGAGAGAGAGAGAGAGAGACTCGATATGAAAGTAAGCGAAAAAATATTTAAAGATTTAATACTACACTATATTTTCCATACAATACCCTCTCGTATGGCCATATGTGTCAGGAATTGCAACACAAACTCCAATACATGGAGTGTGTGTTAAGGCATACAAAGCGATTGAACCGTAAAAATATTTTATTAATGAAAAAATAGTTTTCTTTCGGCACATGGATTGCCGAGATTTATGTCACTAATAGACTACAGATTATATACAACAAAATACCAGTCCTATTATGGAGGTGTTCGGGGTCGGGACGTACAATCATTTTGATTGATCTGATAGCTTGGCATACCTTTCCCCATAACTTATGGACCATAAGCCTGTGCTATACACCGTATACCATATATTATATATTAAACCCATTTTTAATAATAAGCAATTTATTAGGCAATATATTTTCACTTTTTTAAAAACACACTTTCATACAATATATGCTAATGTTATACGAATCTCATATGAAACTACATATTATTTATTACATAGTATTAAGTGTGGGAAATACGGTACGACAATATGATCAGCAGTTAGTTATTAGTCGTTTAGATCTGAGTATATATTTAAATAATTGATGACATATTCAGGCGATGAAAATCCACTGCATATTGAAATATATTAATACGAAAAAAGCCTGAAACAATTTATGCTTGATTATATTTGCGTGAATAGTATGCACAGTATTATACGTTGACATCCAATACTAATTCATATGCCATTTATTTTCATATAATAATTTCTCTCTCATTATTAATAACTAATGAGAAATATTAATAAAGTTTGGGAAACATAAGGATTTGTGATATATTTTTTTGCGTATAAAATATTCATTCATCTATTTCACGAGAAATATACAGTATATTGATATTAAAAATTTTATTTTTCATCTATAATACAGTGTATTAGTTATGAAAACTTTTTCTCATATGAATATGTAATGAATTTTTTTGTAATATACAGAATATTCTGTGAATTCACAGAAATCTCTCGTAATCCCTATTTTTCATATACATTTAACTAATGACTGGCACCTACTATATAGCCTGTGCCATACCATAACCATTTAAAGACTAATTGAGATTAAATACCCGGGTCTTTATCTGCGAGCATAAAAAACACTATATTTTATGCGTATTTTAATTCGTTTAATAAATACAGACTCTCTCTCTCTCTCTCTCTCTCTCTCGTCTAATAGTTATGTATGTCTTAAGTCTGATGTGTTTTATATCATAATTAATGTCTGAAAACACAGCCAACTCTAAAGGCATACATAATCTCCTATTTAAAAAAACTAATGTTTTAGACATACAGTGAACCCTCGCTATAATTAACACATTTTGGTATATTGCATAAAATTCTGTAAATACTAAATATATTTTGAATAATATTTAATTACGAAATAACTAATAGGCATAATTTATAATTGTAAAATTTGCGTCTCATAAGTAGTATAGTATTCACAAAGTTTATGATAATCGGAAATTATTCCGGGATATCATTATCTATTAGTATAACTCGTTTGACTAATGAATGCAATATATATCGCATAAAATGCATTCATTGTTATTAAACTGAATGCTAAACCATATGAGAGTCGACGAGAAAAATAAAACTAATTTCTACTATAAATACGTTATTATCTCATATGAGAGATATGACTGACTATTAAGATATGAAAAATATTTTTAATATAAAAGCAGAAATAATTTCATTATATTCTTCATAACTATATATTATTCTTGAGACTTAAAAAACACAATCAATCATTTGAAATGAAATTTTTCCGTATATTTACATAAATTTTTGTATATATTTGTTGTGATATGTAGGAGCCCTGGCGTACGACACCGTGAGACCCCTGTCCTATCAAAATACGGACGTATTTCTCATATGTTTTCATTTGGGAGACTGGAGTTCACTGCAAAATGTCGTGAATAAGGTTAGTATTGGAGAAAATTATTTATACAAACACACAGAATATTCTGTATAAAATATATATGCATATCATAGATATATGAATATACAGAATATTCTGTGTGAGTGTGAATGCATAATACATTTAATTTATTTGCGCACGAATTAAATGAATGATTATATTTACACAAGAATTTCTCAATTCATTTATTATGTATATAAAAATTTTTCGTAATTTATTTTATGCGCCAAAATAGTTTTGAGCAAATATTTTAATTGAATTATAGGAATATTCTGGCGATTTATACGAATTTTTCTGTGATTTATGATTAGTTTTTTGGGTAACTTTTCAATTAATAGTGTTTTCCGAGACATTAGTAAACTTTTAACTTTTATTATAATTAATTTTTCGAAATCAAAAAACATTTATTCAAATTAAGTCAATAGTCTGTGTAATTGAAAAAATTCTGTACAGAATATTCTGCACAGAATTACTGCACAAAAAGGCTATAATTAAGTACTTTTTTCAATTAAAACTCACAAATGAATGACTGATTGAAACACATTTCTCTCCAATTAATTACATACTAATGAATTGATGTCTCATTTATTTCATGGCAACGGTATATGTCTACTACTCGTAAAAACAGTGGTACCCAGAGATCCAGCAGCACTCGCCCGCCGTACCAATCATTCTGTGCGGCTGTCAATCGGATCAGCGGTTCAGTCAGCAGTCGTACAGCGAAATCAATTCAGTCAACAATTACTCGTTGTATTCATTATCGCCGACAGTGGACACCAAACGGAAACCCGTTTTCTCTGAAGAGGTATTGTGTGTTAGGCTTATGGTTTGTGTCTCAGTGTTGGACAGACAGATTGACAGACAGATTGAGGGATAGGGAGTGGGAGTGAGTGTGAGACTAGTATATAGTGAGCTAAGTATAATTGACATTATTCTGCACTTAGAGTAAGGTATAAACCGATCTCTCTCTATAGTGTACTATACTTATCGTTATAATGGACTTAACATTGAGAGATAGGGTATTATATAGTGTACTCTCTTTTGTGGACACTATCCGAGAGAGAGAGAGAGAGAGAGAGAGAGAGAGTCACGAGATATACTGATAGCTAAAGAACCTGAAGATTAACTAAAGAATTATTTGTATTCTTAAGAGATTAGTGACAAAATTAATGATACTTTGGTTTTAGTGTTATATAACTCTTTAGGGTAGATATATATGTGTGTGGAGTGGTATGTATGTGTGTGCCAAAGGGAAATGGGTGTTAATGGTTGAAATGGGGGACTGGTAGGCANTGACAAAATTAATGATGCTTTGGTTTTAGTGTTATATAACTCTTTAGGGTAGATATATATGTGTGTGGAGTGGTATGTATGTGTGTGCCAAAGGGAAATGGGTGTTAATGGTTGAAATGGGGGACTGGTAGGCAAGGGAACAAGGATAGTGTGAATTCCTATCTCTCATTGATTTTAATTCTGGGGATTTAAATGAAATAATAATACCATTGAGTAAGACGTGACAGGATTACAGTCGGAGCCAATTAAACCCGTATTATCCTCATTGACACATAATTGCGTATAAACCCGCTTATAGTTTTAGACAAAATAGGCTCCGGGTGATGTAGTAATTAAACGCCACTTATTGATAATATAAGATTTAATTAATTTCTAGCGCTAATTCTTAAATAAATAAAATTACTATTATTTTTCATTATAAATTAACCAAAATAATGTTGCATTCAATTAACATGTACAGAATATTCTGTATAATAATAATAATTCACTATTAAAAACAATAGGAATAATAATTCTCTAAAATAGTAATTTATATAGTGTACTAAAATTATTCTTGATCATAAATATTACCCAGTTAGAATATTTTGTAAATAATGTATGTTTGTTAGGACTATAAAGGGATTTCACTGTCTGTTCATTGAATTTAATACTAATTAAAATGTATTATAAATTAACAATTAATCACAAAATGCTAATAATTGTCTCATTTTTTTCACGGGAACGGTAGGCGCTGGCCGTGAGCCGACAAATCGGTGCCATAACGTACGTGGAAACGACATCCCTATATAATAACCGGACGGCACAGGAGGCGTTTGAGGTGTCAGCCCTGGCAGCCAAAGGCAAACTCAATAACAACAGCAAACTCAAGACCTCCTCGTCCTCCCAGACCCTCACCCGACATAAGTCGGTGTTTAAGCTCCGGAAATGCA